TTTGAGAGTTCCATTGCTCAAGCCCAGGAGCAGCGGCGACACGGGCGCGCAGACGGGGCCCCAGTGGGGGGTAGCAGTGCGAATCCCAAAGCAGCAGCAGAACGCAAGACGACACACATAATCCCCCTCAACGACGCCGCCGCCGCGCCCCATTGGATCCCGTTGACCCCTGTCGCACGCCCTCCGGTGGGGCTCACCGGCTGCGTCACGTCCGCCGTCTTGCCGCGCGGCAGGTTGGCCCCCTGCAGCAGTTCCTCCACGTGGGTATCCGGCAGCTCCTCCCCAGTGACCTAGCGGGTTACGGTCGGTGACGGTTGGCGTCGGTCGGTCTTGGTTCGTGTCGGTTGGTGCCAGATGGCGTTGATTGGCGTCGGTTGGTGTTGGGCGGCATTGCTTGGTGGTCGTTGGGGTCAGCTGCGCCGCCGTTATGCGAAGCACTCGGATCGAGGTGCGTGCTTCTGACCCGGCGCCACCCGAGCCACGCGCCTCACCCCTTTCCCTAGCCCCTCCCGGCCCCCCTTCCTCAATAAAACGCCGCGAGCAGACAAATGCCGATATGATGGGTCAGATTCAAGGTTTGTCTTGGGTGACACGTGCTTGCGCTTGTGCTTGCGCGTGCGCTTACGCCTGCATGCGCGCCTGCGTATGCGTGTGCGCACCTCGTCTATGGGTGCCCCTGCCAGGCCGTCGAGCTCTAGGTCGCCCTGCTCAATCTTGAGGATGGACGCCTGCAGCAGCTTGGTGGCCTGGGGCGGGGGAAGGGTGGGTTCGTGTTGTGTATAGATGCGTTTTGATCGTGTCTAGCAGCAAAGCAGCAGTGCGGGTAGCCAAGCAAGGCGGACGGCGAAAGGCCATGTATGCGCCCACAACCCGTGCGATCCCCTGACCCCTACTCCCCCAACCGGCCCCTGAAGCAGCCCACCTCTGCGACGTGCGCGACCTCGACCGACTCGCAGCAGTAGACGCGCGCCATGGCCTCGCTCAACCGCACCAGCGCCTCCAGCTGGCGCACCTGGGGGAGGGAGGAGGGTCGGGAGGGCGCGATACGATCGGCGGCGGCAGGGAGGTTGAGGGGGGCCTCGCGGGCTCGATTGAGGTGCTCGCAGCTTTGGCGGCCGCAAGGGCGCGGGGACAGTGAGGAGGGTGGTGGGCGGAGGGAGGCGTCGGGCACCTGGGCATGGGTTAGGCACCTGTCGCGCGGGCTTGGGACCCTTTCCGGGGCCAGCCAACCGGCCGCCGGGCAGCCAGGCGGGCATGTGCGCTTTATGGATACCCTTTTCAAAACCCAAAGCCCAGCCGGGGCGCAGCCGAGATGGCCCTCAGAGGGATCCCTCCAAATGCTCCTCCCGAAGCCCTCTAATCCCATGCCCCCAAATCCAGGTATCGGGAAAGAGCCGGCCCCCACGGCGCCGCGCCCGCGAGCCAAGCCGAGCAAGGGGCCACCCACCGTGATGCGGTAGGCGCTCTGGCTGCCCGGCACGGCGTCCTCCGACCGCAGCCGCTTGTATGACCGCACCAGGGCGGCCTGGGCCTGGGGGGCCAGTCGTGTGTGTGATTGTGTGTGTGGCGTGTGTCACTATTGGTTGGCAAATTTGTGTTTGTAGTGCAAGAAAGCAGGGGTCTGGCAAAGGCTCAAGCGCTTGGAGTTCAGCAGGCCCAAGCACAGCGACTCGCTGGCAAGAGCGATGCCGCCAGAAGCCGCCAGGCGGAACAGCATGCGCTGCAACGCACCCCGACACCCCTTTGGATTACGCACGCCCTTTCTCGCAGTAGCCTCCCCAGCTGCTCAGAGCTGATGCCCTGATCAACCCTGGAACCTGCAGTCCCCCAACTGCTGCTGCTGCTGCTACTGCTGCGCCGTGACGCCTCCCTCAACCCTGGCCGGCACCCCACCTGCTCCGTGATGATGGGCTTGATGGCGCGCGCGTACTTGATGTAGCGCTGCATGGACTCGGTGCTGAACGGCACAGCATGCGTCACAGACTGCGGAGTTGTGTGTGTGTGTGTGTGTGTGTGTGTGTGTGTGTGTGTGTGTGTGTGTGTGTGAGGTGGGTGGCAAGAGCCAGACGTTAGGGTGTGTCGAGCGGTGGGTCGAGGCGCGGCAGCCGCGGCAGGGTCGGGACAGGCAAGACGGGGTGACGCAGCCCCGCAGCGCCGGGTTCCTGCACACAGCCCTCTTCCAGCCCCGCGTTAAAAGCCCGAGCAAGAGGGCCAGAGGCCCCTGCGCAGGGCAGGCCCCCGCGGGGGGCTACGGCGCGCACCCCTGGGTTCCTGTGCAGGGCCACGATGTGCTGCGCGATGCGCTCGTCCATGAGCTCTGTGGTCTCGTCCACCATAACATGGAGCAGGTCAAACCTGTTGGGGGGAGTTGGGTGGGTTGGGGTTGGGTGGGGGTGGTTGCGTGGGCGTGTGGGGCCCAACTTGTCAAGGTGTGCCCATAGCGTTGGAGCTGGGGGTTGAAGCGTTTGTTGTGTGTGTGTGTGTGTGTGTGTGTGTGTGTGTGTGTGTGTGTGTGTGTTCGCGCGGCGGGCAGCAGTAAGGACAGGGGGCGAGTTGCTCGATTGGGGATGGGGCTCAATCATGGGGCCCAGCGCACGCAGCCAGTTGAGGCTGGACCGGAGAGCAGGACGGGCAGCTGCAGCCGAGGCGCTGAGCGTGATACAGACAAGCGAGACTCAGCCCAACACTGCGCCTGCTATGCCACCCCCCTAACCC